TTCTTTTATAATGTCTCGTACAAAGTGATACTGAACATCATTGTGCTTCGTCCTTGCATGATAAACTTGGTTCTTTGCTAATTAGATAACTCTTTGACTATTACAAAATATTATTTTAATACTTTCTTGTCCAATACCAAGCTCTCTAAGCAACCCTTGAAGTCAAATTGCCTCCTTCACAGCCTCTGTAGTTGCCATGTACTCTGCTTCAGTGGTAGACAAAGCAACGGTTGACTACAAAATAGATTTCCAACTAACTAGTGTATTTGCAAATGTAAAACATAACCAATAGTTGATCCATGTTTGTCCACATCACCCGCATAATTTGAATCACAATATCCAACAAGATACTGACTATCTTCCTACTAAAAATCCAACATCTACAATATTAAGTATTACGAATATAGCGTAGAATCCATTTCAGAGCTTGCCAATGCTCCTCTCCTGGATTACGTATATACCTACTTACAACTCTGACAACATGTGAAATATCAGATCTTGTGCAAACCATTGCATACATCAAACTACCAACAACATTCACATATGATACTCTTGACATATACTCTCGTTCAACTTTATTCTCCGGTGACATAGCGGCACTAAGCTTAAAGTGAGGAGCTAGTGGAGTTCTAAACGACTTTATGTTCTCATTCATGCCAAAATGATCTATTACCCTCTTCAAATATTCTTTCGAGATAAACAGAGTTACTTTGAATGTCTATCTCTTTTTATGTCCATGCCAAGAATTTTTTTTGCCTCACCCAAATCCATCATCTCAAACTCCACTCTTAGTTGAATCTTCAACTTCTCAATTTCCTCGTGACTTTTGGAAGCTATCAACATGACATCAACGTATAGGAGAAGATATATGAATGATCCGTCTTCAAGCTTGCGCAGATATACACAATGATCATATTTTCTTCTTTTGTGCCTCTGCCGCAACATAAACTTGTCAAATCATTTGTACCATTATCTAGAAGATTGTTTCAAATCGTACAACGATTTTTCAAGTTTGCACACCATATTTTCCTTACCAGTAAATTCGAATTCTTCTAGCTGAGTCATATAGATTTCCTCTTCCGTGTCTCTATGTAAAAATGCAGTTTTTACATCCAACTGAACTAGTTCCAAATTCAACTGTGCTACCAAAGCCAACAAAACTCTAATGGAGAAGTATTTCACGACCGGAGAAAATACCTCATTATAATCTATTCTCTCCTTTTGAGCGTATATTTTGGTCACCAATCTTGCTTTGTAACAAACATCTTCTTGGTTAGGAAATCTTTCTCTTTGCAAATACGCATTTGCACCCAATTGCTTTCTTGTCCTTCGGGAGATTGCCAATTTTCATGTGTGATTCTGATGAAGGGACCACATTTCTTAATTTATGCCAATCCTCCACTTAACTTCTTCTGAACTTTGGACTGCATCTTTTTAAGTGGTAGGAATACCATCAGCTACAATTGAGGCTACACAAGCCACCATATCCATGAGTCGAGCAGGTTTTCTTATTGTTCTTTTTGGCTTGTTGGTTGCTATTGATTCAAGTTGTTGTTGAGGTTCCTGAGTTGGAATCTCCTGCTCAACTAGCTATTCTTCCATTGGAAAATCTTCTGTTGTTTCCTCGTTTTCTCCATATGTTGGGAAAATTAGATTTCCCTCGAACTCCATCTGCTTTGAAGCACCATCAGTTTGTTTGACATCTTCAACTGTTACCTTATTTGTTATGGCAGATCCATCAAAAGTAACATCTCTACTTAATATAATTTTTCTTGTCTTTAGACACCATAAGTGGTATCCTTTGACTCTAGAAGTAATCCCTATAAATATAGCTTTCTTTGCTCTCAGATCCAATTTTGACTCTTTCACATGATAATATGCAATTAAATCAATTACATACAAAAAACTATAATCTTAAGCTGGTTTTCCATACCGTTTTTTAAATGGTGTCTTGCCACCAATAGCTGCAGATGGTAGACGATTAATGAGGTGGCATGTATATGTTATTGCTTAAGCTTAGAATTCTTTGCCCAAGCCAACATTGGACGACATACACCGAACCTTCTCTAGTAAGGTCCGGTTCATGTGTTCTGCCACTCCATTCTGTTGTGGTGTATTTCTGACGGTGAAGTTCTCGACAAAACCATCATCTTCACAAATCTTATTGAAAAGATCATTTTTGTGTTCTCCACCATGTCTGGGCAAAGATACCTGATCTTTCTACCTATTTGAGACTTTGAGTCTCTATCATTGCCTTCCATTTGAGAAAAATTTCTAATACCTCATCTTTAGTTTCACTCTATACATCCACACTCTCTGGGAAAAGTCGTCAATAAAGGTTATAAAATAGTGTTCCCAAACATCATAGCGAACATAATCCAAATACCTTTAGTAATATGGCTAGTTGTTTCAAATTTAACCCTTGTGTTAAATTTGACAAGATTCCATATGAACTAGAGTGAACATTTGGAAGCCTTTTTTTTAGAAAGAAATTGGTAGACGCATTTTTCATGCATTACATTGCATGATCACACTCTATGTGATGTCATGCATGACATTATTGAGGTCATTTCCCTTCTATAAATAGCAAGAGTTTTGTTCATTTGAGAAAATACCTCTCACTTGCCTTATCATCTTCTAAGGCATTTGAGTCTTCTTTCTCTCTTGTTGTATTTCACTTGTATTTTTGGAGTGAAATAAAGTTTGAGTTGATTGTGTCCCGAGGACTAGGCGGAAAATTAAATTTTGTCGAACCTCATAAATTTCTGGAGACAAGAAAAATGAATAGTCCATATCGGGTGTCAGTAATACGTCGTTAACATCTTCACACATGACAAGAATTATATCAAATGCGAAATTTGCAGTAGGATTTTTTGACGGGGCAGGACATTTTGGTGTGTGACAAGCTGAGGTTCTTGATGTCCTTTTCCAACAAGGGCTAGATATTGCCATAGAAGAAAACAAACCAGACAATATATGAGAAGAATATTGGAAGATTATCAACCATGTTGTGTGTGGTACCAGTCGATCTTACCTTGCAAGAGAACAGAAGTATCCATACACGAAGAAAATTTCTGCAAGTAAATTGTGGAATACATGGAAAGAAGACTATTACACTTCACATATGTTTCTGGTACTACAATGAATGATATTACCAACTTTAACAAGTTGGCGACAAATTTGCAGAACATGGGTTTTAGTGATGGAGATATGGCCTTCATGTTGTTAAGTTCGATGAGTACGAGTGCCTCGAAACTATTCTACTTTATGGGAATGATGAAATCTCTCAAAAAAGTTTGTTCTGCCTTGTACAACTATGGACAAAGAAAGAGAGAAAATAAAAATGTGGAGAAGGAGAAGCATTGGCCGAGAGAGGTCGTTCTCAAAACCAGATGAGAACGAAGAAAGGAAGATCTAAGTCAAGATCCAAATCCAGCAAAGATGAATGCGCCTTTTGCCAAGGAAAGGGGCACCGGAAGAAAGACTGTCCAAAGTTGAAAACAAGGCCAAACCTAACAATGGGAAGATGGTCATGGATTCAAATGTAGCTGATTGTGACGATTCTGATTTCTCTCTAGTTAGAACATAGCCAACCAAACCATTATGGCTGATGGACTCAACTTGTAGCTATCATATGTGTTCCAAATAGGACTGGTTCGTTGATTTTCAAGAAGGAGAACGTGGAGTTATTTACACCACAAATAATAATTCTCTTACCGAATATGGTATTGGTTCAATCCGATTAAAAGATCATGATGGCTTGATCAGAACATTAACAAATGTTCGATTCGTACTGGATTTGAAGAAAATTCTCATTTCTTGAAGAGTCAAATAGGTTTAAAGCTGTTGCAAAAAATGGGATGATGAGAATATGCTCCGGTGCACTAGTGGTAATGAAGGGAATTTGGAGAAACAATAACATGTACCAGTATCACGATAGTACAATTATTGGGACAACGACAATGACATCAGTGATGACAATAAGGCAGAAGCAACCAGGCTATGGCACATGCACTAGGGATATGTTGGAGGAAAATCCTAGAAAATTTTATCAGATCAAGGATTGCTAAAAAGAGTAAAGACTTACAATTTGGAGTTTTATGAGCATTGTGTCAAGGAGAAACATACAAGGTGTTGCGGAAGCCATATCTTAAGATAGCTAATAAATAGTAAATGAGAAAATAATAAAAAGAACACCAGAAATTTACGAGGCTCTGCAAAATTTAATTTTCTGCCTACTTCTTGGACATAATCAACTCAAACATTATTTCACTTCAAAAATACAAGAGAGAATGAAGATTCAAATGCTTTAAAAGATGAGAAGGCACGTGAAAAGTATTGTTAGAAGGGAAATTGCCTCAATAATCTAACATTACATAGAGTGTGATCATGCAATGTAAATGCATGAAAAATGCATCTACCAATTTCTTTCTAAAAAAGAGGCTACTTGTCAAATTTAACAGTAAATATTTATTTATATACACACACACATACTATATTTGAACTCATCGCCTCAAAGTAGTAGTTCCGCATTGATAAATAACTTTTACTTGCTCCATCTTTCTCGTTACCATTTTAATTACTGATAATTATGTTTGTGCAATAACCATAGTATCTTGTCTTTACTTCTACCATAGTATCTTTTCTTCAGCTTTGATACCATAGTGAAATGTGTGATCATCTCATCTAAAAGCTTACGTTGTGAGAGAACACACTTTTATTTACTTAATTATGCTTTCAACATGCTCCCTCACGTGTGGGCTTAATTCTTTATTACGAGCCAAGCACTTGAAAATTCTTTTTTTGTGGGTGACGGTGAGACTCGAACACAGGACCTTTGCCTGCTCTGATACCATGTTGAAGTGTGTGACCATCTCATCTAAAAGCTTACACTATTAGCAAGACACTTTTATTTACTTAATTATATATTCAACATGTCCATCATGATCCTGTCAAAAATAAAGAAGTCAACTGCAATATAAGCATGATGTTCTCATTAAACTGTGAGCTTTGATTTAAGCAGGGGTAATATGGTAGATGCCTTCCGGATGCATATAATGCAGACAAAAGAGCTTGGGACATGTCCTGTCAGGCAGATTGGAGGCTGCTCTTTCTTCTATATGAGAATCAACAATGTATATATTGTGATTGTAGTTAGCAGCAATGCAAATGTCGCATGTGCATTCAAGTTTGTTGTTGAGGTAACCTCACCCTCTAAATAATTATGCTTTGTAAGATATTAGGTACTTGCATAGTTTTTGAAGATTTGATCTCTGGAATTGATGTTTTACTTCTTTTCATATAAGCTTTCAAAATCATTTTGCGTAAATGCAGGGGTACATTTTTGCTATGTGAACATCAGGATGTTTATATTTGATAGCAGCATTTTGTTGGATAAATATCTGGAGTAATTTTTTCCTTGACTACTTGCTTTATTTCTGTAGGCTTGTACTACCTTTCTTTCCACATTCTATTGTAGCAGTAAATAAGAGCTTATAATAGCCTCTAATTGTATTAAAAGAAACCATTTGCATTATTGGGCCGAGGGTCTTCCGGAAATCTCTCTACCTTTACAAGGTAGAGGTAAGATCTGCGTACATACTACCCTCCCCAAACTCCACTTGTGGGACTACACCGGGTATGTTGTTGTTAAACTATTTGCACATTATAAATTTTTCTATTTATATAAATAGAATTAGGCCCATCGTCCCAACTTTCCTGAAATATATACATTTTCAACCAAAGAGTGGCCATACAGTTAATGAAGTGTGTGAAAATTATGAGAAACTAGGTTCAAATCCCAACAGGAACAAAACACACTAGTTGATATCTTCTTATCTGCTTAAGCCAAGTGTAGGTCGGGAGAGTTACCTGGTACCTACAATAGTGAGAAGTAACCGGTATTCTTGAATGATGGTGAGCACAAGCTGGCCCTAATACCACCATTATAAAAAATATCATACATTTTCAACTCTCAAGAGAATCATGCATCTAATTTCATATGAAATAGAGAAGGGGAGCATAATGTTATAAGGGGTCGTTTGGTAGGATGCATAAGAATAATGCTGAATAGGGTGTATTAGTAATGCTGGTATTAGTTATGCTGACATATTTCTTATCTATTGTTTGGTTTGATGTATTAAAGCATTGCACAATTTCTATAAGAATTGTTTGTTTACAAAAATGCCCTCAAAACCAGTCCACCACTCTAACTTTTTAAAAGAAACATATGTTGAAAATGTTTTTATATGAAAAAGTTTTAAAAAAATTATTTGATTTGTTTACCTATATTGTAATATAGAACTAAATATTTATTTATAAAAAAGAAAATATGCTAAAGTATTTATTTATTTACTAGGGAATAATTTTATTTTTCACAATTTGGATTATTTAAACTTGCATTAATATAATAACAAGCATATTTTAATAAAGCATAAATTTTGAAGGACAATTTTGTCTTTAACTAAGCTAATGCATGCATTAAAATCCATTGCATTGCTAATACCATGGTTTTCTATGCATTAGTTATGCATATGATAATACCAAATAGAATGTATAACTAATGCTTGCATAGCTAATGTCTACCAAACAAGGTATTATTAATACACAAAGCTAATGCATGCATTATTTTATCTAATGCATCCTACCAAATGACCCCTAAATGATTTAATAGCCTAAATATGTGTTGTTCTTGTCATTGTTACAACTCTTTCTTTTTTATAAGTGGTATAATGAATGTGCTATAGTTTGTAGGTACTGGAATTGAATTCCGGTGTATTCTAGTTGTCTTTACTCCTTTTGACAACTTTCTCTTTGATTTTCATGTAGGCTGTTGCACTATTCAAATCTTATTTCGGTGGTGCTTTTGATGAAGATGCCATTCGTAATAACTTTGTTTTAATCTATGAGCTTTTGGATGGTAAGCCATCTGGATATTAATTAATTTTTTATATTTTATCTAAAAGTTTGATCAAGGAAAGCCTTTCCGTATTACTTATCACTTATGAGGAAAAGAATCCTCTGTAATAATTGTGATATACATATTTTTTATTTTCTGTTAGCTAATTGCAAGTGATGTTGATTTCTCATGTGGGATTGTTCCCCCCCTTTACCCACTTCGTTATGTTTGAGAGGAAAGGCTGTATTATTACTGGATAGAGTTCTGCTATGAGGATACATGGAAAGCAAATTAAAGGTGAGGCCAATTTGGATACCTAGCCCTCCTCTTCAAGTAAATGCTGGCTACTTGGTGGTTTTTAACACAAATTAAAGGTGAGGATAAGTGGATTACATACACTCTAGCAAGGAGCTATTGTTTTAATGGTTACCATTTGTTTGCTTGAACATGGGGTTTGTATGTTTATACTGCTACAAAGGAGAGATACCGAAGAGAAAGCAGTGGTTTAGGGGGCATGTGTTTGATCGGGTGCTTGACCGTTGGGAGAAAAGAAGAGAAAAGGGAAGAAGAAAATCTACCCAAAGAAGGTCAAAAAGGGTATGTGCTGGAGGACGCCCGGGCAGAGGGTCTTGATATTGTTGGTAGTCGATAGGAGGAGGAGGAAGAAGAAGATGATGAAGAGATGTAAAAACGAAGAACCTTTCCCTACTAAGACAGCATGGAACTAGAACCTTCACAGCAATGCCCCTAAGCCCAGTTGTTACTCCTCTTTTTATAGGGGAGTGACAATTTAGGGTGTGTTTGGTACGAAGGAAAACATTTTCCGGAAAATATTTTTTAATTTTCCCATGTTTGGTTGGATTAAATGTTTTGGAAAATATTCTACTTATCAACTCATTTTCCTCCAATGTTTTTCCAAACTCTTTTTCAACCTTCTCCACCTTATTCCTCATGCCCACCAACCCACCCT